AATTTCAATTCCAAAAACAAACGGATCGATTTCTTTTTCTTCATTGACGCAGACTTATCTTCATCTTCTTCGTTTTGAAAGTGTCAATAGTGCGTCTCCATCTCTATATTTCAATCCATGGAGATTAAATTTGAAAAACATATTTCATAGTTTTGATTTCAAAAGTATATCAAATCTATCTGATATATTTTCTCCATCCTTTACTCGAGCGATGTTTGTTCGACATCCATTTGAACGCCTAGCATCGGCTTATAAGGAGAGAATTGCAACACTTGAAAAAGATAGAATTCAACCAGAACCTTATTACGATGATATTCGCAAATTTATCTGTCAACGATATACACACCCTAATTGGGTTAGAAGTCTATTGAAAAAAGTTCATCCATGTGAAAACTTTATTCCTCCATTCAAACATTTTGTTGAATTTATTCTCACGAATACTGAAACATCTTTCGGAATAGCTCGAATGGACGGTCATTGGCAGCCATACACAGTAGTTTGTCAAGTGTGTAAATTTAAATATAATTTTATTGGTAAATATGAAACATTCAACCATGATTTTAATTCCTTACTTAAACGTCTCAATGTATCTGATTGGAATAATGAAAAGCGACGCGGTGCATCAGGTCATAATACATGGGATTATCAACAATTGTTTTCATCCTTACCAGATAATCTTATTTGTCGACTCAAGCGTCTCTATAATGATGATTTCCAATTATTTAACTATCGAATAGAAGATTATGTGAATCGAACAACGTTAACTTGCTGATCATAACGAGAAATAGCAGACATATTTTTATTCAAGATAGAAAAACGTTAGAATGTGTATATGGATATATTTTTTTTAAATAATAAATTTGAAAAAATCAATAAAATAGTTAATGCTTTAGTTAGATATGTTTTGAATATCGATTGATACGAAAAAAGCCACCTTAAGGGTATGGGTGGTTGTATTCTTCTTATTCATTATTCACACCCACACCCCACCATCAAGTGCTCGATAATTGTAAATCTTTAGTTTATGAGTAGAATGATTTTTCATTATTTAATCCTCTATTGTTTAAATTGTTGTAGATA